GTGTATATATATATATATATATGTGTGTGTGGTGCACGTGCGTACGAGTATTTGTGCACATATGTGTATGCATCTGCATACATATATGTGTATATGTATATGCATGTATGTATGCATGTACGTATGTATGTATTCATGTACGTCTGCGAATACATATATGCCTATATACATAGATACACATACATGTATACATATATGCTACCGTATGTGTGATTAGATGCATATGTACAAACATACGTACTTAAATGTGTACTATATTTACATGTACAGGTACAGATGCATGTACATGCGCGTGAACATGTAATATATATATATATATAGATGTACATGTACATGTTCGCATGCATATACATATGCATATACGATGTATACACTATAGATGTACATGCGAACATTCATACAGTACTCATATGTACACACATAAACACATATATCTATATGTGTATAGATGAATCAATCTGCAGAAGCCAGCGAGCCTCAGGAAGCCTCGGCATTTCCTCCTCAGCAAGCAAACCCTACCCTTCCAACAATGGAGCACTACATCCTCAGCGATAACGTCGGATCCCCGTAAGAGGGTAATCTATAGTAGTGTACTGGAGATAACTCATGCCTTTCGTTCTTTCAAAGTTCTATTCGGTGCTTTGGGGCTTGGGGGTAGTGGGTCTTTCGCTGAAGGCTTGGAAATTTGAGGTTTTTTGTCGCTTATAGTTGAGGGTGCAGGAGCTAAAGTTCAGCTCCCCGGAGCTTTTTGAATCGATGGAGCAAGGGTTCAAGGTTGGAAGATTCTCTAAGCCAAGGACCACAGAAACACCGCCGCCCGAATTCCTTCAAGGCTCTCCATAGTTCGGCCGCTCGCTGCATTTAGGGGGCCTTAACATTAGTTAAGAATAGTATAGCTAATCATGCAGGCTCCTATATCAAGCCATTTTTAGCTTCCATGCAGCATTTTCCTGCCAGGTCTGCGTTGAGGTTCTGCGAGCTTTTTCGACATCCTGTCCCAGGCTTTTCACGAGTAAGGCTCCGTAAAAGAAGCTGAACCTCCCAAATGGCTCAGCGACAATCCTCATCGACTCTCGCGCTTAGAAATATCCCAACACTGCGTAATTCTCACTTCCCTGGCCACGGATTCATGTATCGCCGCAAGAGTCTGAGTCAAGGGTCATGCATTTGGCTCACTCTGTAACACTGCTCCGTGATTCAATATCCTAAACCCCGCTTCCCATGAACCGCTGGTCCTGGAGCCACCCTACACGGGACAGTAGCAGATACAGCAGATAACCGGAGGCAGGAAGTTTATCCTAAAACTCCCAACAACTCCTCCTTCAGTGCCCATGGGCAGGAACATCTGCTGTAGAGTTTGTCGCGAATGTAATGTCTTCCGACACGCTGCCGACTAAATGCCAGATTTATTTCTCCAGCAGCTTTGTTCGTGCTTGTGATATCCGAAAAGTTAACGTCTCAACCCTCAACCTCATACCATCCAAAGAAGTTGGAGGTTGCTTGCTTGTCTGCCAGAGCTTAATCTCCGAAACCAGTCCTCCATCCTTCGCCAGAATCAGTGGCAGAGTACGGCCATGCGTACCAAGACCATGGTACGCGGCAGGCAACGAGAGGTTTGGGACTTACAAGTAGGGACTCAGGGTGTTAGGTCTTCTGGGATTCAGAAAGTCGTAGTTCTGTCAGGTATGGGCTTAGTGCGGCTTCGGGGCTTAGAGGGGTTTTGGAGTCTCCACGGCTTTGAGGCTAGTGGCGCTGAGTGCTTGATATCGGGTTTCTGGGGTTTGGCTTCTTGGAGTGCTCTCTCTCAAGTTTGCGGGACTACCACAGGTAATCTTTTGGTGTAAAACAATGGGCCCTTCTTTGCTGTGGGCTTGGACTTGCGGGGTCTTCTGAGTATACAAGCCGTGGGCACGAGCATGTCCGGCACTAGCCTGGGAACACGGCTGCGCTGCAAGCCATCCATCAAACGGAACACCGAAATGGTCGCGAGAGTGAAGAGACACAAGTCAACTAGAAAGATTAATAACTATGAACATGATGATTAATAAGAGCACTAATTAAGAAAATGACAGTAATAAGAAGAATAAATCTGGCAGGCATGACACCCTGATCTCCCAGCAATCGAAAGAACTGGAAAGACTCCACGCGAAGGTAAGTCTGCAAATCCCAAACCCATTCAAAGGGTTTAAGGAAAAGTGAACTGTGAACCAAGATTCGAAAATCCTAACCCTGAAATGCAGGTTCTCGAAGGTTTCGGCCTTCTGCTGTAGCCTACCCTGAACCCTGAGCTCTAAACCCGCTGCACGAGACAGTTAACCGGTTCGCCATGAATACTCTTCCCCCAAGAAAGAAGCAAAACCCAAGCCCGGAATGAGAAATCTATGAAGCATCAAACACGCTTCTACCGTTGCACTTGAAACTTCAGGGAAGTTTAGCAGACTCTCCCAATCAACAGAGTAACTCAACAACACGGCGAAGCTGAAGACGCAAGGCCAGAAATCCCTCGACCCGACACCTCGGCCCGGAACGAAAATGCACAAGAAGACATCTTCAAACAGTGGAGAGACGAGGCTTTAGGGTTTAGGGTTTAGGGTTTAGGGGTTTAGGGTTAGGGTTTAGGGTTAAGGGTTTAGGGTTTAGGGTTTAGGCTTTTGGCCAAGGGGTTGTAAAGCTACAGTTCACCAAACTCTGACCTTTTTCGTTGACTACCCGCCGTGACTGAGATCCGTCCCACAGAGGTAAAGAGATCTCTACCGTCGTGGGAACCCGGATTTGGGGTTTCAGGGTTTCCGAGTGCTACACATTTTCAGTCTTGAGGCCTTTGGGAGTGGGAGTGGCTTGGCACTTCGAGGTAGCCGAGCTCTTGGGGCTCTTCCTTGGGTTCTTACCCTAAGACCCTAAACCCTGGATTCCAGACTATCTGACTATTATCCAGAGCCCGCAATCCTGAAGCCCTGGACCCAAACTGAGGAAACCCAACAGCGCCCCACACTTAGAGTATGGTTTAAGCATAGGGTAATACTATAGTAATAAGCAATACCAGAAGGGTTCCAGAGTTTAGGGGTCGTTTCCGTTAGTATGCTGCGGCTTTGGATTTCGGGCTCCACGCTTTCAGGGCATTGAGCAATTTGGGGGCCCTAAGGGTGTAGAGGGCTTATGTTTTGGGGCTTCGGGTTTAAGGCAGAAACCGACAAAGCCGCTTAAAGCCTCAAACCCTGGGCACCCCAAGGCGAGAAATGCAGATTGCGAGCTGCCGCATTGGCCACACCAGAGACGACGCTCCTGTACACGACTACCATTCCTGCTTCTAATCGCAACTGTACACTGTTCCACACTTCCCTGCTGGAGTCCCATGCTACGCTCACAATAATAAAGATAACAGTAAGAAAGTAAGAACGATACTAATAACAATCATGACCTACCTTCGGAAACAACAAGATTGACACTTCCACGAGTTGGCGCTAGATTTGGGATCAAAGAGTCGTTGACTTCTGCTCCCGCGGCCTCCAATTTAAGCCTAAACACGGAAATCCTAAACTGAAGGGTCTTGGCGGATTTGGAACTCAAAGTACAGGCCGAAAGTGTAGGGGTCAGCCATGAGGAGTAAGATGAGGCGACGTTATTGTATACTACAGTATGCTATTGCATACTATGGTGCGTTCTAGTATGTTATAACAGCGTTTTGCACCGGCTTCCTCAGGGGTCTTGGCTAATTAAGGAGCATGTCACAACTTAAGAACCTCCTAAAGCCCTTATGAACGCCAAAACACACTTGAGACAACAACACACTTAAGATCCTCAACAAAGGGCCCTGCAGTCCTGCAGTGGGCTCCTGTAACCTCTTGGGAGCTCCAACAGCTCTGACGCCACAGGGAAAACAATGCGGCGCTTTGCCGCGAATTCATGGCACCCCCCCTCGACCTTCGCCTACATCGCTACATTGGGGGTGTGTTAGTGTTACTACTAATATTAGTATTACGATTATTATTGCCACTTACTATCACGATAGCTCCCATGCAGACCCAAAGACAGGTTCGCTGGGATCTTGAAGCTCCCTGCAACAAAAGCTTCATAACTCCAACTTGGTGTTTAGGATCTCATTATGTGTTTGCATTCGAGAGTCCCATGCTCCACAGCTTAAAACCGAACTGGTATGTAGACTTATTCGAAGCACCCACATGCAAGTCATACTAGGACCAAGAATGCCAAGCTCAATGTCAAGGGGCCAAGACGTGGGCAGTTGCCACGCCAGGTGCAGCTTCAATTTCGGAACTTTACAACTTTACAAGTTTAGTGTAATGGACAAAGCTGCCACCGCCGCTTCCAGATGGAAGCCACCTTCAACTGGGCTCTGGTCAGCACGGTACAAGCTCTTGTCGTGGTTTGTCTATCACTATCAATGCCACCACGGCCCAAAGAAAAAACTTTCATAAATTCGCGCATTCGAACACCAAAGCTCCAGCGTGCTAGACCGGACTAAACCATCTTCCACATGCGGTGTCATTGAATCACTTGGCTGCATCGGACATCACCTGGGCGGGGCTTGACACCAAAATCCGGAGCTAGCCAAACCTCATGTGTCCTTAGTCGCAGGCGGGGCAATGAAATTCAGAGCGCCTAACCCTTTCAACTATAGTTTAAGTCTTGCTTGGGTAGTTGTGCAGGAAGATTTGCAGATTAAGCCAGCTTCGCAACATCGAGTCTTTGAAGGGTTCGGAGATGACATTAAACCTGGTTCCCGAACCTCAACCCTCAAACCCTCAACAAGCTCTCAAGACATCCGTCCGAGTGGACTCGACAGAAGTAGACAGACTGCCGGGGTTCAGGATCCCGGCTTAAGCGGTGTGTTGCAATGGTGAGTGAGGGACCCCTCCGATGCGAAACTTAGAACAGCTAGACGAACCAGGAAACATCCAGAGACGAAGCTCACAAAAGCCAAAGACAAGTCGTGGGCTTGGACTGCATGGGTAAGGACTTAGGATCTTGCCGAGATGCTTTCATCAGTTGGATGCTGAACGGGGCCAGAACCTTCGTGGCGGAGTCGTTTGGGACGAAGGGATGGGGTAGGGTTTGACGTCAGAGCTTTGAAATCACCGTGTCGATCATGAATTCAGGGTTCGTGAGATGTTCGGATTCCGGGGGGATGATGGGAGGCTTAGCTTTGTGAGGCGACCTACGGAAGAGTCTGCAGGCTGGTGGTCGGATGCGACAAGAGCCTCAAGAAGTGGCAAGCTTGCTGCTCTCAAGAAGATGCATGTCGATGGCTATGGTACCAGCCATGTTCGACCCGGAAACTGCGGAAAGCACCCCAAGGCTGCGGAATCAAGGCTCGGTGTCCCATGACGCCTAAACCCCCAACCCCTGAACAACAAACCCCTGAACCCAGAGATTCGATCTCTCCAGGCACCTGGATACGAAGGTGCAGCAGGAACCCCGCAGGTCGCAGTTGTTCTGTGTCGGTTTTTCCTGGACAAAAGAGTAGAAGTGGGTCTTCGTGGTTGTTCAGTATACGCGGGTTACGGGGCTTAAGGTTACGGTTTTAGGGCCTAGATTTTAGGAGCAACAACATCAAGTACTGTCGAGGCCAGAGCTTCGAACATCTGGAAGCTTCCAAGACCTGAATCCCCGCAACCTAGCCTAGAACATCCATGTGCTTTACAACCGTTGACTCATACTCAGAGCCACGTCCAAATCCCGAAAACCATGGTAAAGCCTGGAAAGGGCTTGGCAGGGCCGGGCTTGAGGCTTGGACCCTATGCACCAAATGCGCTAAGCAAGGCATGTCCGTGAGCCAATGCAACCCGAACCCCCGACCCTAAACCCCAATCTTTAACCACACAGCCCATTCTGCAATCCTACCCTAAACCCTAAACCCTAAACCCTAAACCCTAAACCCAAAACCCTAAACCCTAAACTACTTCCTCTAAGGTTCATAGCACCACAATCGGAACAGGCTGGGGCCCGGCTTGGGCCTTACAGGGGTCACGCTCCTACCGTTTAGGGTTTAGGGTTTAGGGTTTAGGGTTTAGGGTTTAGGGTTAGGCCTGGGGGCCTGGGGCCTTAGTGACTTTGGCTTTGAGGCTCGGCCTGGGGACTTCCGGAGCACGCGAAGCTCGGACCGACGTCTTCCACGCCCTAACCCGCCGTAGGCCCCAAGCCCGAAATGCAAGCACTACCGTGCGTAAAACCCGAGAGACCGAGATGAAGCGTAAAGGCTAAAACCACTGGTACTTGGGGTGAGGGCCTGGGGGTGACTTGATGGTGCAACTGTGTAGGGTACACGGCAGACAGAAGGGGTAGACTGAAATTTGCTTAGACCACAAAGGCTCTTACGCCCTCAACAGCCCCAAACCACCCTGGTCCCTAATTGAGGCGTCCTCAACCACCAGCGAGATGCGAAAGCCTCGAACCCTGAACCCCAAGCCACCCGTAACCGACCGAAACCATGAACCCCACACCCCAAGCTACGAAGCTGCTCAGGTCCTCCTCCAGAGTCTCCGGAAGGATCGCAGCCACAGCCGTGGCGGCACAGCCAGCGCCGGCGAGCATCCTCGGAACACATGCTGCAGGAGCATGGGATCTTGGACTTTGGGGCTGGGTTTAGGGCTTCGGTCTCAAGATCTCGGAGTGTTTGGAGCCTAAGATCTAGGAGCTTTGAGGCTCAAGATCTAGGGGCTTGGGATTCAGACCTCGGAGTTCAAAGCTTGCGACAAAGCTGGGGGCCTTCGGACTCTACCAGGGCTTTGGGGTGTTGCATTTTGGCGGCAATAGGGTCTTCCGGGATAGAGCTTTCGAACCGATGCGATCGGCGACCTAAGGGGAAACGGATGTAGTTCTCTAACAGGTTTCCTTTCTAGGTCCCCAATATAGCACGGTACCCTTGTACCTTTTATGAAGGACCCGGAAAAGGACCCTAATTTGGAGAACTACCCACAAGTACGCAACCTGACGAGGGCCTTAAAGCAAGCCTTACACAAACCCTGAATTCTAAAACAGCTGATGCACCGAAGAGGACCTTTGAGCTTGCTGCTGATGCAGGCAGCTGATCTTTGTTGCCCTAAAACCCTAAACTCACGGGGCCCCTCCCAGGAATGCCATGCTTAAGCCCCTTACGAACTACTCATGTATCTCAATTTCTGAAGTCAAAGAGGCTCGAAACACGGGTCTAGGGCGTAGGCATCAAGTTGTGGTAATGTAGCAGAAAAAAGGCTTTAGAATACCAAGCTCGCACCCAGAAATCTGAAGCTGTGAAAGAAGGCCCACCAAACCCAACTCAGCCCTGCACTCAGCCCTACACTGCACAACCCGTGTCGAGCACTTCGGAACCGCTCATGTCTGCACCGGGCAGCGCGAATGCTGCTCCGAAGCTAACGCTGTTGGCCAAGTAGCCTGCAGGTTGCAGCTTCTGTCTTAAAGGGCTACTATGGGATTTAGGGTTGGGAGTTTTGAGTCTATGCCTTAATGTTGAAGGTTCAGGGTTTTGGGTTGATGGTACAGGTACAGGGTTGAGGGTTGGGAGCTTAGGTTGGAAGATTAGGATTCAGGCTTTCCGGGTTTGGGTGTAGCGTTGAGGGGTTAGTTAAAGGAAACTACAGGTGAGGAGTTTAGGGCATATAGGGCTTCTATAAGGCTTCTATAACGTACATAGACCTTCGATAAGGCTCCTATAACGGTGACTACCCACCTGAAAATGTCCTAGAGTTAGGGTTCAGAGGCTTAGACAAGGGGCTTGGAATGTAAGTTCAAGCTTACACGGTTTAGTTTGTGCAAAAGAAAGATACAGCGCTTTCCACTTGATTGGTGGGGACCAGCCTGTGTAACTTATCCAGGCTATGGAATGCGTCATGATTCATAACAGTTGAGGAAAGGTCTTGGTTCGTCATAGAGGCATTGCGAGCCTCGGCATCTGTCTTGCGGTGGTCTAGGGCTGAGGGTTCCATGCTTTCGATGTGGCTTCTACTGAACGGAGTGGCAGCTTACGTCTTTCTCTCAATCGACAAACATACCAAACCTTGCAACTTAAACTTCTTAGCCGCCCGCCTGCAAAGGTGGAGCTGGCAATGGCACCGGCGCTGAAAGCTGCCTGCCTCAGCAAGGGGGGATTCCGCTCGGGCTGTCAGGTGGGTCGCACATTGTGGAACTTGTGCTGGGGATGGCCCTTCGGCATCAACATCCCCATCATCAGCAGCGGCATCTTCAACTTCACCATCGACACCATGATGCTGAATACGATGATTCTTTTAGTCTGTCCTTCTGCTGCTGCGCGCGCTGGTCGCTTCTAGCTACCTCTATCAAGCTTCTGGGTCACAATCACAATCATCTGAAGACCGCGTTGCATTCACGAAGGCAAAATCGACACGGAGTGCGGTCGTCACCGTGGGCCGGTGAAGACTGTGCTTCTCCTACCTTTGTCGCCGTCGAATTTACTCTTTCCTTGCTCTTTGTTGCCTCTTCACCATATATGGAGGGCAACGCGAAATCCGCTGCACCCATGCTCCCGATGTACCCTTTCTCTCTGCAGGCCCGGGTGCATGCAGCCCAGGGCGAGGCTAAAGCATCCGGTGCCGGCAGAGACATCCTGCAAGCTTACAAGGAGCTGCCATCACAGCGAAATATTGTGGGTATAGGGCGTAAAGTTTAGGGCTCTCGAGTCTAGGCCCAGGGGGTTAGGGGTTGCGGTTTTAGGGTCTACTAAGGGGAGGTGAGCCATTCAAGCTTCAAAGCCCTCAACAAGCACTGAACAATATTCTGAAGCTGAATAAAACAGAACTTTGAATGCTCTAATCCTAAACCCTAACGTCTACACCCTGACCCTCGACCAGACTTCCTCTCGGGATTTTTTTGCAGAATGGTCCCGTGCGAGGAGGACCACCAAAGCACCCCAAAGACCTGCACAGACCTCACAGGCCGGAGGGGGTTTGGATTGAGGATGTTCGATGGGGTTGCTGGGCTTGGGGTATGAGGGCTAAGGCGGTTTATTGTTTGCGGGGGCTTTAGGCCATGGGGTTTAAGTTATAATGGTGTGGATTCTGGCCTTAGGTACTGAGCTTGGCACTCATGACAGAAGCCGCGCGGTTGTGGCTATCTTCATCAAAATCGTCCTCCTTCCGTTTGCTTCGCTTGTCGTAATAGTAATTCTTGACCCTAAACTTAAGCGATCTTGGGACTTAGCAAGTACAGGAAACATGAATAATTCAGCATTATTATAGCTACAGCAGTAATCAGCCCAGGTAAAGGTACTACTACTTCTTCTTCTACTACTACTACTACTACCACTACTACTGCTTCTTCTTCTTCTTATGACTTATTGCAAGACCGAGGCACGCCATCGAGGCCCTCGCACGGCAGCAAGCCCAGCCAGGGAGTGCCGCCACGTTGGATCCACCAGAGGTCCTCACCAGTCTTGGGCATGTTCGGGTTATATACGGGTTCTACAGGGTCCGTTTGAGGGCTTCGGGTTTGGGATTTAGGAGTTTAGGCATGTGAGGCATGTAGGAAAGGGGGGGGGGTCGGATTGGAGGGTTCGACAAGGGCTTTTGCAATGGCTTATGGTTTGTGGTGTGGGGTTTGGAATTTAAGGTTTTGGGCTAAGGGGTTTGTTGATTTTCGGGTTTGGGCTGTCTTGGGCTGAGGATTACCACAGCAGCTTGTGACTTCGACGACTGCGGCTCTTAAGCCGCGCGACGAAGGATAAGGCTTAGGCTGGGAACTCCGAGGGCAGGATCGTCTTTACAAATCATTCAGGCCTCTATACTCAGTACTACTTTCCCCACACCTCACTACCCTACGCATCCTTCCCCAAACCCCTTCATCCAAATCCACCGTACTATCTTAGCCTATTTCCGCAAGTCCGTGGCAGCAGTGAGCAGGGCTCGGATGGTGACCGTTAGGCAGGCGGCAAGGACCAAACGCCTCCACAAGGCTGCTTCAGCAAATAAGAAAAGCCATAGACATCCTCAAATCCTCTCACCTCTCAACCCTAAACATGAAACCCCGAAACCCTGAAGCCCCAAACCCTGCTGGGTTCTAAAACTTCAACTCCGAATACTACAATCCATTTGGGGGTTTCCGAAATTAAGGGGTACCTTATTTTGGGGTCTTTATAATAGGGATCCTACTATTTGGGTACCATATTAAGGTCCCCTATTTTCGGAAACCCCCATTTCACAGTTTATGATTCCTACGCCTCAGACCCATGAGCCCTAAAAGCCGTAAAACCCCTAAACTTTCCTAAACCCAGAAGCCCAAAGACCCTGCAACAAAAAATCCCGAAACGGTTCGGTGACATAGCAAGTGGATGATGATATCAAAACCTACTATGCTGCAATAGACTAGACCATGCTATACTATATACTAAACTATACCATACCATACCATACTATGCTATGCTATACTATACTATAGTCTGACACACCTCTGACTATACTATACTCTGTTGCTTTTCCACACCATACTCTACTATACTGTACGATACGACAGTATACTATGATGTAGTCCTGCGGCGCAATGAAACCTGATATAACATACTGCACTGAGTAGACGATGATACCTTTTAGCATGAAGCAGTATGATGTAATAAGCTATAACGCTACAGAATATCATTTACGTTAGTATATAGTAACATAATATAACACAACATAGAGTACAATAAAACACAACCTAACAAAGTGCAATAAAAGAATAAGATGACCGAGTGGCTTCCGACCCCCATCTGCCATCCGGCCGACCACTACGCTCGAGACCAGCATGCCGAGGTGGGCCACGATCCTTCAGGGCTTTAAGGTCCAGGGATTTGGGGTTGAGGGTTTAGGCTTTAAGGTCTAGGGGTTTGGGGTTTAGGGTTTAGGGTGTGAGGTCTAAGGGTTTGGGGTTTAGGGTTTAGGGTCTAGGGCTTTGGGCTTTAGGGTTAGGGGTTTGGTGCTGCTAGGATCGTAGAGGCTCTAAAATCGAGGGTTCAGGGTCCAGGCTTGAAAATTCGAGATGTCAAGCGTTAGAGACTGCTGGGATCGAACATCGCGATTTGGGCCTCACGGCCCAATTTCTACAATGGCTTCGGGATTCGGGCTTCAACCCTGACTGCTAAAGCAACCTCAACCGTCTGCAAGAAATCGAGGCTTCTTGGCAAGCCGCCCCCCAACATGGAGCTATTCAGCGTTCCGGGCTTCATCCTCGACCTAACCCAAGAATCTCACATGAAGATTCTGTGCTCCCGAGCTTTGTTCAAACCGGGCCTCATCGGATTGAAGGCGTGTCAAGGGTCAATGGAACAACTATCGGGTCTTGGCCGAATTTTAGCAACAACGCCCCGGCAGCTCCAGAAAATAGGACCCCTGGATAGCAGGACCCGGAATCCGAGGACCCAAAACACGGACCACGCATTCAGAAGCCCCCGCCCTTCATTCGTTTGCCCAGGTTCTGCGCAGCTGACGTATAGCTGATGGCCTGACCAGGCAACAGCGCGGACGCCTGAAAGCAGAGGCACGGGCACACCTCTGCTCCCTTACAGCCCTACACCGTTGAGCCCAAAAACCCTAGTCACGCATGCCTGACCCCTGAATCGTACAAACCGGGAAAGGTTTCGTTTTCGGAGATGAAGCAAACGGAGCCTTTTCTTGAAAGGCGACTGGAATGCTCCGGAGTTTTCTTCAGGGCTGAGGTTAAAGGGTCTAAGGGTGTTAGGCTGAACCCCTGATCCCCAAACCCGGAGCCTCTAAACCCTAAACCCTAAACCCTGAACCCTAAACCCTAAACCCTAAACCCTAAACCCTAAACCCTAAACCCTAAACCCTAAACCCTTATACCGGCCTCTTGCACAAGAAGCTGAAGCTGGGCCATATTCCTCGGTCTGAGCAGCTGGGGATTGAGAGCTTTGGGCTTCTTTTGGGGATTTGAAGGTTTGGTCACCGAGGATTCAATTCCTAGGGCATGGAATGTGTTGGTCCCGGATAACATTGGAAGCTAGCTATTTTGGGATTGTAGGACAGTCGGTCTTGTTGATCGAAGGAAAGGTGTTGGATATGCACAACCCACTTCTTCAGCAAATGAACCCCTGCATTCAATCCCCGTCAAGATGTTGAAAGTCGGCGCGGACTGTGCCTGCTTCCGAGATTTACCGGACGAGAGGTGCGAGACTCCTCAGACGCATCGGCTTTGCTGCATCCAACCCCATGCTCAGAGTTAGATTCCGATCCACAAACAGAGGTCCGACACGTCCCCTAAACCCTAAACCCTAAACCCTAAACCCTAAACCCTAAACCCTAAACCCTAAATGTGCCGGCAGCTCGAGCCCATTCCCGAGAAGTCCCGACGAAAGGGCTCGGATCCTCGGCCAGGCGGCGCGAAGTTGAAGAGGAAGGACAAAAGCAGCGCGAGCAGGAAAGCCTGGCGGTTTAGGGTTTAGGGTTTAGGGTTTAGGGTTTAGGGTTTAGGGTTTAGGGCTTAGGGCTTAGGTGGCATTGCTGGAAGCTGGGCATGTTGGTTGTTCGGGGTTCGCAGGTGCGCAGTGAAACACCAGATGTGGTCATGGCATCATGCTAGAACGGCAGGCTCAGGCCTCAACGGCTCATTGTCATTTCTGAAGGCTGAGGCCCGAAATGCTTCGAGGTTCTGCTACCAAGGTCCACCTCAAATGCATCGCCGCAGCACACCTACATACACCTCAACAATGAACGACAAACCTTGATCACTAACTCGAGTAAGAATACATCCTGAACCCCCAGCCTTGAACATCCAATAGCCGCACCCCAAACCCGAATCCCGGCCACACTAACTCTTCATTCCCAATCCCAAGCCCCCAAACCCAAAAACCCCTACACCCTAAACCCTAACACCCTCAAACCCTGGGCCCTGAAGCCGAAGACTCAAACTTCGCTTGGATGCCTTGCGCGTGAAAAGCACTTCGTATCCAAGCTTAGTGTCGGGCCTGAGCGCGCTCTGTGGGAGGAGGGGCAGAGTTTTGGGGTGTCCTGCTTTGGAAGGGTCCTTAAGGGTTTAGAATTGGGCCACAAAGGCTCTGTTGTAGCTTCATGGGGGGCTTTTTGACTGTTGGACGGGGACTTGATGGGGCTTCTTTTTGGAGGGTTGTGTGTGCAAGACTTTGGAAGCTTGTTTTGTCCACTACGCGTTTTATGGCAAGGTTCGGGTTCCATGTTGAAGGGGTTCGGCGTAGGGATGAAGGTGTCAGGGTCTAGGGCTCTTCGCGTAGAGTTAACGGCTTCAGGGTTCAGAAGAGTATAGCGTCTGTCGCGTAAGAGATTTTCGAGCTTCCTGCCTTTTTCGGACTCTCTGAGAAATCGGGGTTCAGGGTGCACTTGGCTTTCAAGAGCCAGGGCACATCGCGCGGAAATCCGAAGGCGCCGCCGAGTCCTCCAGGCCCGCTGCGCGGCGATGGTCGATCTTGCTGTAGCCTTCAGGACATGTCCCCGGGTCTGGGGGGTAGGGTACCGGGACTCGGGGATTTGGGGTTTAGGGGGTTATAGGGGTTAAACATATGCGTGGGCGCATACTAAGAAACCCAAAAACTCAAAACCTCTAAATCCCAAAAACCATAAAGTCCAAGGCTCTTCTTCCAAACTCGAAAATTTTTCCCCCGGACGCATAAGCCCAAACTCAAAACTCCTCAAACCCCACATCCTACAAACCTAAACCCCTAAACCCTCAACCCTCAAGACCCTAAACCCTATCAAACCCGAACCTGCCGGCCCAGCAACGGATCATCGGAAGCGCGACCACGGCCAAGACACAGGTGGCCAAGGGCACAGCGACCCAGAGGGGAGCGGTCTCGGTGGCCTCTGAAGGTCTTCGAATCGGAAGGGCTACCGTTGGGGTTTACACGGGTTGCTACGGGGTTTATACTGTTTACTATGGGTTTGTTTATCACGGCTGCGTTTACCGTGTAGGGCTAAGAATTTAAGATCCAGGTGGTGCAGGGCTGCGGGTTGAGGTTCCGGGCTGACAACCCCAGAGTTTGAAAAGTTTAAACTCAAGAGCAGAAGGGGTCCAGGGATGCGGTTGAGGTTTCAAGGTTTAGGATGTGCGATTTACGTGGTTTGGCCGTAGTCACAACATTGCTAGATGCACATATATACTTACGTATGTGTTATGTGTGTTTACCTAAATACAATGTAATATTTTACATCGATGTATTATATTAGGTTATAGGTTATATATACTATATGATCTTGTATATACAACACAGACAATCACAGACATGCGCCCGAAACTGGATCTCTTGACAAGACCCGCGCTGTCCAGCCTGGGAGGAGCTTCCCGAGGAGCCGCTCGAGCTCCGGGAACCGAGAAGGGAGAGACCCGCCATGGACGCAGAGCAGATCACAGTTCCTAAGGTTTCTACGAGCGGCTTGTAAGGTTTCTATACATGTTCCAGACCTGTTCCTGTAAAAGGTGTACATTGTCAGTTGCGCGGAAGTTGTGCTCAAGTACTACAAGGCTCGATATACGGGTTGAGGATTCAGGGCCGCGGGTTGAGGTTTACAAGCGAGGGTGTGGAGTTTGGGATTCAGGGCATTGGCTTTCCAATGTTTGAAAACTGGAGGTTTGGGATTTTGCGGTGTCGGTTTATAATTGGGCTGGAAACTCTAAAGTGTTTAGATCTTTGGGCTCCTTGCTTTGGGCGCGATGTGGTTTTCGGGTGCATTGCTTTGGGTTGATGTTGCGGTCAGAATAACCTCATGAAACTTGCAAAACCCGTACAGCCCGGCTTTGGGAATGCGGTCTAAGGCTTAGGGCTGAGGGTTTTCGGATTAGGTTTAGGATGATTAGCAGCTGCCTGGGCTGCCAGCCATCTCTAGATTTCTCGAAAGCGCTGCAAGCTGCACACGCGCCGCCTTCGCCATGGGTCACATAATAATGGCCCGAGTCTGCTTGGGAGACAAAAGTGCGGTTCGTGCTCATGGGCCGACACGCAGTTGAAGCACAGGGCGCCTGCCTAATGCAAGCCATGCTCAAGGTCCACGGAGTCTCGTCCGGCAAATATGCATCCAGAATGTCCAGGTACGTGGGCCCGTCGCAGTGCTCCACATATCGGAAGTCAGTTTTAGTGACAAGGGCCCAGCAATCGCTCCACCGCCACCAAACCAGGGCCGCAGCCAGCAGCTTTTCGCCGTGGCAAGAGCTGCACCACACGAACGCCTCGTGGCACGGACTGGCTTTGTCAGGGCGCAAATTCCAACTTCTTGTATACCACTTCGCCGGCTGACTCCTCCAAGCAAAGTCAGACAAGCAACGCCCCGACTGGAGGTCGGCTCTGATGGCGGTGGTTCCGATGATGTCCCAGCCTGGTTGAACACGGTAGCATTGAGTCCTGAAAGGTTTCCTTCATGACCAGCATCCCATTGGCAAGAACATGGCCGCCAGGCACGGAAGGGGAAGGCGTCACGCAATGTGCGGCTGGTCTGAGAAGGTCTGTCCCCAAAGCAACACCCACCTCCGACCGGCCATCCGCACTTTTGTGGACGTCAGCGACAAGCTCGTCCGGCACAACTGGGAGACACAAAGCCTTCCACGACCGTTGACACAATGCAGCGCTTGCTACAAGAGTTTGCAGGGGCCTCTATGCGGCCCCAGCTACGCGCGAATCCGTAACATCGTCGCACATGCGGAGAGGACTCTTCCTTAGCCTTTGCGGGCTCTTGCGCTGAAGATTCAGCATCATGGAGTTCAAGCAGCAAAGATCCGCTAGCAGATTCTACAGCTTAGATCGTTGTCGTGGCTCAGCACATATTTTGGCAAGCGGTTGCCGAGCAAACGGCAGTGATCACGGTGCTGCTTGCGCATACCGCAGATCGACCTTCCACTGCAACACCCAGCCAGACCTCAATATACTTTGTAAAAACTTGTCAAGCCTGCTGTACCCGACACGCACACACCAGCCAACAGCTTTGGCCGATGCGCTGGCAAGCGCAGGTCCCATTGACACGGCGCCCAGGCTAGGTCGAAATCGTTGATGACGATCTCCTCACCTGCATGTGGCAGCAACGCTTCCAACGTCATCCCTGTGGATGCTCGGCAGCGAACGACGTGCCGAATCACATCCGCTGCGGCAAGGGCGCAGACGATTAGTGTCCACATTGTCTGCCGTCGAACCTGCGCAGAGGTAGCGCTTCAAGCAGATGCGCTGTGGTCGCCGCTTGCCACATATGCTGAGGTCCGACTCCTGCGCCGTCATTCATGTGGACTCGCGAAACTTGGACCGATCGTCGACGATTGCGCCTTGTCCGAAGTGATCGTGGCAACCTCGTCCGCCCTCACTCTGCAAGGACTCGGACCTCGCCTGCTGTGGCCTGTTTGATGTCACCGGTTCAGCTGGATTCAGAAGCCAGCGGCACCGAACCGCCGAACCTCGGCGCAAGCGAACCAAGAGGCCAAGCTTGTAGCGGAGAGCTGAGGCGAGTCCTCGACGGTCCCAATGCTAGGTCAAATGCACTGCCAATAACAAGTTCCTCATCCAACTCCAAATCCTTGCTTGAGGCTCATGCCGACGTGCTCTGCCACCGTTATAGTCTCCTATCACTGCAGGAACCATTTCCAAGCAGGGCGTGCCAGAACAAATGCAAGCGGGACAACCGTCCTTTGGCGAAGTAGCAAGTAGTACTTGTCCGCTGACGCCGCTGCATGCCAGAGCAAACCTGTTGCGCAGATTACTCACGTACCCGTGTGCACACATAATGTTCTGCTTAGACTGTCTGGCTCTTCGGCGAAACGACGCTCGATCCACGTGGGTCATCGCATCGACATGCCAGCAACTCCAGTGAGAGGTCAGGCGACCGTGCCGATTGCATGTCTCGACGTTGTACGATTTCAACACGGCGTGACAGTGTACCGAGCCTCCACAACCCCGTTCCAACTGAACACTGAGAACATGAGTTCATTATAGTTCATTCATGAGCAACCCTGTACGAGCGAATCGCCACAATCAAGGGAACCAGAGAGAGAGAGAGAGAGAGAGAGAGAGAGAGAGAGAGTGAGAGAGAGAGAGAAAACAATTTGGGGTCTGCAGCTCAGGGTTTCGAGTCCAGCGGTTAGGGATTAGAGTTTAGAGTAACATCGTTCAAGCTTTGAACTTGGAAGCTTTTCGGAAACCAAACCAAACTCCAAGCAGAGTGGCCCACGTGGGTTCCCACATTGTTCAAGGCCACCTGCCTGGGCTAACTTCTCTTTTGGGAGTCTTGGGCCTTAAACCCTAAATCCTAAACGGTTTAGGGTTTAGGGCTTAGGGTTTAAATCTGAACCCCTCAGCCCTCAACCCTAAACAGCCCTGAACCCTGAAACCGGCCCAAGAGGCTGCTACACGGTCTACAGGCCGACAAGAGTTCGTGATTCTAGGCAGCAGCATTGGTCTCTGCAGTTTTTTGAGGATTCGTCGTACGTCAACCGTTGTCAAAAACTCAAGAGGCGGCTGGAGAGGATGATGTTCCAGCGTCCCCAGGCCGGCACTACCCCCCAATAGCAGGAAGTGCGAGGGGAATGAGATACACTAGTATTACCTGTCACGAGATGGAATCAGCTCATTGCGGGTTGTCCACGTTGGGCTTAGGGTAAACGGGCTGGGTTTGTTCATTTTTGTCGCTACGACTGTTATCTGCGGCGTGTACTGTCTCGTGCCTGACCGGAAACCATCAAGTGCTAAACCCCAGAGTCAGGCTCAATGCGGCATTTTCATAGGCTGGCCCCCAAATCCCCAATCATTGCACAACGCGTGAGCCATGCTGCTGTGTGAAGCCCGACTCCGTGACACCCAGCGTCAGGGAGTTGATGGCCAAAGGAACCAGCGTCATCGCTATCGCTTGGGGAAACTCTGCGGCAAGCCTGAAGGTGCAGCAACCCCAACACGCTCAACCCTAGCTAAAGCCGAAACCCCTACTCACATCCTCGACTCTATTTCACTTAGCAATGTAGCTCTGCGATTCAAGGACCCATGGCTTAATGGGGCTGGGGCTTGGGGCGACGTTCCAAGGTTCAGGTTCGATGAGGGTTGAAGGCTTCCGGGTTTGAGGGACGGCACAGCAGTGCCCCTACGGCGGGTCATTGAGGGGAGCTGGATTGCACAAATGCGCGGCAGCGCGGAATCCAGGGAGATCAGGAGCTTGGGCTGTAGGGTTTTGGGTTTAGGAGTTTTAGGGCTGGCTGTGCTACCAACACCGGAAGTTAGTTGGAATCTCAACTCCCAATTACGACTGCTGTGCTAATCTCGGGACCCTCCAAAGCAAACTCTGAGAATTCGAGCCCAAAAAAACTCAAACCTCAACCCAGACCCGTTCAGCCAAACAGCTCCAGCCAGAACGACTGCGGCATGAAAACGCCGATGGCAGCACTCGCGGCGGCACAGAAGCTCCCAAAGACTACCTCCAGCTTCTTTCAGCTTCATGCAAGGAACCTTTACAGGGTTGAAGCTCAGGTTTCAGGCTTTCAGGTTTACGTGGGGTCTGGAGTTAGGTTGTAGGGTTTGGGGTTTAGGATTTGGGCCTCAACAATTGAGCAATCTATGTGGCTGCAGACGGTTCTGGCAAGACTTTGGCCTCTTTTTAAAGCTGTTCAAGCTTCTCTCAGTGGGAGTGGGCAGGTGCTTGCAGCGGCGACACAGGTGATAGAGCCTGAAGCCCTCATGAAACCAGCCGTAGACATAACGCAATTTTCGACAAATCCGAAACCCCGAGCCCAAGTTCATACCTCTGACTCTACATGATCCTGTGTATCCATGATCTGCCTTAGACCCACGAAACCCGAACCTTTGTCGCCATTTCTTTGCGCTTGGTAGGTCCTAAACCGTACGTGGACTGCCGTACCCTCAAACTCAAACCGAAACACGCGTACTACATGGCAAACCATGCAACAGACAAACGTGGAATCTTAAAGCCCTCAGCACGATAGACCGACAAACCGACAATCCAAGAAGCCTACAGCAACCCTATCCTAGACGCTGCAATCACACCCCAAAACAATTCGAGGGTCAGGTCTCTGAAGAAAGGCAGCCGAATCACGAGACTCCTCTTCCACTTCGTGCCGTCCACGAAACCGCCCAGCAAGGGCTGAAAAACCGCAACGAGGACCTGCATTTTGGGTGCAAGGCCGCCTTCAGCGGGGGCGTTTAAAGGCTTTGCGCTGACAGGCTTCGTTTTCCAGTTCAGACTTCGTGCTTTGGGGCCTTGAGGTGTGGAAGTCTTCTGCTTGTTTGTGGCCTTGCTGTTTCAAACATCGGCGCTCTAGCCTTGTGAATATCCACGGAATTGCATGCATACCACGACATCCACAACCGCACAAACACTAGCGTTGGCTGTGTACCTGGGGCCAGGACACACATATCGGGACCCATAACAACAACGTCCACTTCGACCACATGCGCAAGCCATCAATCCGTACCAGCACCCACAATATCCCACAATCACGTCCACATCCATGACCAGGAACCCGCCGCTATTCGTGTGGCATGTTCTAAGGCAATGCCAAACTTGCGGGGGGAAGGGGGGGGGTCGTAAACTTAGCAGCCATAGAAGACACCATTGCTTTTCCTCGTGAGTTCTTGAGAGGCTAAGCTAGCAGCGCCCATCCTTGCCACAAAAAGCCTCCTGACGGTGCAAGGAGACTACAGAAGCTCTCGGCTAACGACCCTGAGACTTCGAGATGTCGGCTTCCAGAATGCTGAAACAATGGGCGACCCCACTGGCTTATGAGGTTGGGCGCGACGACATCAATGAAACGAGCAAGCCGTATCCATTCCCGGAAAGGCCGCAGAGACCACTTTACTTGCCCTCTCTTACGCCTCCGAGTTCATTGGCCCCAAGGGGCCAGTTTGGGAAATGCTACTGGGCTTACGAAGGAAGCGCCGAAGCGCCTGCTGCACTGCGTTGAGCTCGCCGAGCTCTGCAGGCGTGTAGCGGCGGAAGGGGTTTGCGGTGAGCCAGGCGCCTTCCTAGGTCTTCAGCCCGTGGACCCCTGAACCTCATGATGGGCTCTAGGATGACGATAAGGGGCGTCTACAGTCTGGCGAGGAGGAGTTTGGGGCTTAGGTGCTGGGCTTTAAGGTTTTGGGGACAAGGGCAATACAAGAACAGCCTGCCTAAACCTGAAACCCTCGCCTGACACCCCAGATCACCCCAAATCAAGTCAAACTCCGGAATCCCCTGACGCCCTGAACCTTTAAACCCTAAGCCCTAAAGCCTCACACCGAAACTTTCCCAAACCCAACCACGAGAAGCCAGGTCTCATAAGGACCCAAGGGTTGACCAGCCACGAAGATGGAGACCAAGAAGAGGCCCATGGCCTCCCGATTCCTCCACGTCCTGAGATAGGACTTTGGGCTTAGGGTTAGCAAGTATGATTAGGGTTTCAGGGTTTCAGGGTCGAGGGATTCAGGTTTGGGGTTGAGGGTTTCAGGTTCTAGGGTCGAGGTGTTTTTGGGAGCACCCTTCCAGCTTCAGTATTAGCCATGTGGACCAGCAACTTACGGCTGGACACGAAAGAAACCGCACGCCCTCGTCAGTCATCTTGACGTTCAGCGGGGCTGCGGGTTTCGGGTCTGGGCTTGAGGATGCAGGGATTTAGGACTCAGGAATTACGGGCTTGAAGGGTGTGAGGTCGAGGTTCTAGGGTTCAGCCTTTGGTGTTTCGGTTACTGTGGGCTTACAAGCTCAACTTTCCTTCCTGCTATGGTCTTCATGCCGTGCATGCAACATGCTAGAGGAGAGCCGAGGTTGTGAGCTTCGCCGCGGGCATAAGGCTCTGCCGAGCAGCCCAGACGGCCCTCTTGTCAGGGCTAACTGCATTATGCCTAAACCCTCGGCTTTCCAGTGTGGGCGAAGCGTCATATTGAGGTCGGAGGTAATAGCCCCTCTAGTGTAGACGTGAGTGCATCCACTCTTGCAGGCGCAAAGCTTGAAACACCACAGGGACCGAAGACATGCGAAGTGGTTGCAACTTCCAAGTATCTGTTACGGTACAGAGGGCTCTTGTAGAATCCAGGAATTTCTTCCCCCTCGAAGCCAACATCTTGTGCTAAAACAAGTCACGCGAAGCAGTTCATGAGCTGAGTCTCAATTGCTGCTGGTCATTTCAGGCTCGCGGAGCCCTGCTAAGACTAAAGCCAAGGATCACTCCTGTCTCCTCCCCGACGCTCGCACCACGGAAGCAAGCATTGTAGCAGTAGGCCGCGAGGATGAGCCTTTGGCCAAAACGTAAGGTTTAGAATCCGAACCGATCAACCAGAAGCCTGAGCAATATGCCGAAACCCCATGAGAAACCAAAAAATCCCAAGCATGTGATTTCTACAATAAACTGAACTCCAGTGGAGATTCGAGAGCACGCAATCTGCGCCTCCAATACCCAAACACATGCACGCTTCGACCTTCTGCCCCAAAATAGTGGAGCCTTATTATAACCTTCAGAACAGCTTCTGGGTGTGTAGTATCGCATAATTTCTCTGAAGACTATAAACGAGTCCGGAGCCTGCAGAATCCTACAGATGCCTTACGCCCGACACCCCCGAAGCTCTTGAAAACCTGAATCCTCGAGCCAGAATGGGCACCTCGATAATACGTACCAGTACATAGCAATCATGATCGTAGAACCCCTCAAGGCTCCTCGGCTCCAACGCCACAACAAAGCTCTGGACAGCGAACTTCCGCATAAACAGACTACTGACTTTTAGGTCCTTGCAAGAGCACACACACACACACACACATACACACATACGACGTGCTTTTCTTTGAGGTAAGGGCTTCCGGAGCTTCGGGTTTAAGGCTCACGGCTCCTAGCATTTGTCGGATTCTCGGGAGCCCCTCAAAGCCCAGGCACAGGCCCCCCGCAAGGAGCACGGCAATCCCCAGCAGGAAGCTCCAGTTTGGTCCGATGGGCGGCCTGAGTTAACGTAGGGGCATTGATGATTTTTTGGGGGGGTCTTGGGTCATGTTTTTGAGTTATTCCACCAAATTTACAACACTTTAGGACCGGACAAGCTCTGCGGTTTGGTTAATGGTCTGGGATTCCAGGGTTGAGGGTGTAGGATGCCATGTTGCGTGGTTTGGGGTTAGGTGCAAGGTCTAGAGTCTTTTGTACAAGGAGTATGGATTCGGTTTTGGCTTCAGGTGTGGGCTCAAGCAGAGCTTCATGCGATACTATAATCATTTGTCTTGAGTCTAGGGTCTTTGAACTACCTCGATACATGGGGTCGTTCCAAGCTGTTTCCGCGGCTTTGCGCAAGGTTTTAAGGGGTTGCCAGTACTGTACTTCCTGCCGCGATATCACCATGCCCCGGGGTTTCAAAAGGCCACATGGCCCATACCCAAGCACAAGACGGAACCTCAAGCCCAGTACCGGTTTAGGCAGTGATCTGCTGGCTAACACCACCATCAGTCCCAACAGGAGGAATGCGAGACCACAGGCGCATGCATGGTGATCAATCAACACTTCGCACGGCTAGTCATCCAAACAGTAAGCAAAGCTACATGACCAGCACACCGAGGAGGGTGATCACAATCGTCGGCAGGAAGGAGAACTTGCTGTAGGTGGTGGCCGTCAAACCTCTTTCCTGAAGCTTCGGGGATCAGAGTGTCTTGCTGTTCGCTGTCATTGCCGAATACCTTGTCTTGTTTCCGTCTAGAGGATTCAGTTTTGCGGCTGGCCTCTTCAGTTGGAGACGAAAAGGCTCCTTTCCGGGACTTCTCGACACCCTTCCAAAGCATCGAAGAGACTGCAAACTCCTCAGGGCCTGTGAATTGCTGTGCTCGAAAAGACTGTTGAGTCGCTGGACAAAATGATTTTTCATTCTCTGCATGCTCTGCAGCGCCAAGGGCCGGACAACAGCGCAACAGCTCGATTTCTTGCGCCGCCAATCTCGCAGTCGACTCCCAGCATGTAGCCCAAGAAGCTTACGATTTGCAGGAAGTACGTGTGCCTCGCAACCTACAATGCCCTCGACCGCACAGCTCTCGCTCGTCGGATACTCACCGCTCCAGGCGGCCTTCTGGGGTTTCTTCAGGGCTTGTTGAGGATGTTCACACGATTCGCCCGTCGGGCCATAAAGCTGCCGGAGCTCTCCCTCGTTCTCCGCGGCGTGCGCGACGATGAGGTTGGCGGCGCTGCCCAGCATGGTGAGATTTCCTACTACCGGGGGGCCTTGAGGGATGAGATTTGGGGCTTGGCTTTGAAGCTTTCGATCCTCAGCTATCACGCTCTCTTCATTCAATCAGCTCTAAACGGTCGTTAGGAAAAAACAGACCTAAGCCCGACCCCGGATACCTTAGGCCCTCTCAACCCAAACAGCTTGAGGATTACCCCTGACCTAAACCGGATGAATGTCCTGACACCGTGGCCACCCATGCGCAGACCGTCCAGACACCCGTGACGCTGCTCAGCGGCTGGGTGGCCAAGAGAGGCTGAAGCCTCGAGGGAGCTATTGGGGGATTTGGGGTGTGGGGTTTAGGGTTTGGCGATTGAAGGTGTTTAGCCAAAGCCCAAAAAGTGCAGAAACCCAACAGGGCGTTCTGAATTTCTACGCTCGACCACGGAGTGATCAGAACGCTCAAGACGTCTGCGGCATCTGACTGACGAACGTGATGGCTCGGTGCTTCATGTTGAGAGTGAAGGGAAGATAGAGTCTGATGAAGATGAATTCTCTCTCTGAATGACCCGGCCCTGAAATAGCCCCGGGAAGCTATCCAAACCATGTTAACTTTTGGTAGTCAGTGGCAGCATGCGTGTTGACAGTTCGAGGGACGTTGGGCAGACCGATTCGCCATGATTGAGCGCAAACACCTTCAAGCCCCAAGCCTAGATTCGCTATAGACGGGCCACATGAGGATGACAGGGACGTTGCTGATGACATTGGAGAGGACCAACACCACCGCGGCGAACCAAAGAAGGCAGCCTCGGCGGGGTTCGACATTCCATCTTCCGGGTTGCTTTTTGAAGGGCTGGCTAAGGAGTTTCAGTGTCCGTGGTTTAGGGATGAGGGTTATATATGGCTCAAGGGCTCGGGGCCTGGCGTTGAAAGATTTGGGCTGTAGAGGTTGGGCTGGTTGTGCAGAAGGCTCCGGGAACGGTGGCAGGGTGCAGGGAGGTTGGATCAGCTGCAGTCATACCCATACCAATACAAACGCCAATAACAAGCATCACCATAATCACAATCGCCGTCATCATAGTAATCATTACCTAACAGTGACAATCATACAAAGTACTTCAGTTATCACAAAAGTACAAATCTTCATAATCATGAGAATAGCAAGAAGAACA